TGGCTAATGAAGTAACAGTGTTACAAAATTAATAATATATTTATTTATTAAATTAGCTACTCGTATTAATTTTTTATTTAATTATACATGTACATGTAATAGGAGACGTTCAATCAACGAGTGAAGAATTATGGTGTTTGGACCAACGCTCAGAAGACCCTCCAGAGCAAGAGAGATTCCGAAGCTAAGATGCAAACAACAGGAAAAACTGACAAGCTCGCGATAGTCCAAGCTGAGATAAAAGATGTGGGTGTGGTTCAGTTATTAATAGTTATTAACTGATGTAATTTTTGTTTTAGTGGGAACAAAAGGAGAAGGATGCTGAGAAGGCTTTTAACAAATGCTCAAAAGTTTTGAAAAGAGAAGTAGAACGTTTTGAAGTAAACTATTCTACTTTCTCCACTTTATTCTATTTTACTTCTATCCTTATTTTGCTGTAGACGGTCCGTACTAAGGAATTTAAGGCAAAGTTTTTAGAACACTTAGAAGCTCTCATGCACATGCAAGAGGAGGTAAGAGCCTCTAAAACACAATTTAATGAAACAAACTTCCATTTTATTAAATATTATAACAATTTCAGCATACATTTACATGCATAAATTTAGTGTCTTTTATATCATTTTTAATCCTCGCTATTTTATTTTTTAGCTCATTCGTCTCTGGGAAGGATATCTCCCTGATGTGCAGGCCATTGAGGCTGAATCTTAGCAACATGCTCCCCACGTCTTAGCTCTAAGTTTCTGATAGCACTAATAAACTGCTCCTGCTGCTGCTCTATTATATTATTATTGTAATTATTATTATACAGTACCTGCTGTGTTTGTGATAAACTTTATGATATCTATATTGTTATTATCTATTGTTATTATTATTGGCAATTATTGTTTATTATTGGCAATTTTTTTTTCCTATTGTTAATGAATATATCTTTATAATGATCGTTTTAGTAAATTAAAACTGTGTTTTCCGTATACTTTAGTGTAAATTATAGTAAACCACTTGTTGGATTAAGGACTAAGTCCGCGGATTCTATTACAGTACATTTCCGGATACTAACAACAATGGCGGCCAATAGGGAAAGAGATGTTCTCTTTGAAGTGAGAAATGCTTTCTTCATAGGAGACTATCAGCACTGCATAACCGAAGCACAAAAAATAAAAGTATATATTTGTAATTTCATGAATAGACTATTCTTTTTTTTCAGCCCCCAACAGCTCCAGTGGCAATAGAAAGAGATGTACTAATGTACAGAGCATATTTGGCTCAAGTAGCACTTCCTTTTCTATTCCCTTTCACTCTCTATCCCTTTTATGTGTAGCGTAAATATGCTGTTGTTCTTAGCGAGGTGACTAAGAGTTCTCCTGTTGAAGTGAGGGCTGTTCGTTTGCTAGCTGAATATCTTAATGCTAGCGGAGCAGGAGGAAGGTAGAGAGAGAAAATAAATACTGGCAGTATATTCTGACACAAATCACAAGGAAATAATTCATTTTTCTGTGACATACATATACACGTGCTTTTATTGTGTGGAAAACTTAAAATGATTCCAATTAAAAATTTGAATTTTATGAATTTTTAAAGTTGCTCAAAAATCAGGCCAAGAACCATGTACTATAGTACAGGGAATTTGGCCAAATTTTGCCAGAAATTGAAAGTAGAGAATTCTATATTTTTATAATATTTTTTAGAGCGAAGGTAGTATCGGATCTTGATAAAACTGTGAACAGTGGGGTTGATGCTGATAATGATACTTTTGTAATTGTTGCTGCCTCAATTTACTTACTAGAGGAAGTGAGAATATCACTAGAACCTTATCATCCTGCTACATGTACCTTTCTCTCTCTCTCTCTCTCTCTCTTTCACTTTTAGAATTTTGATTCTGCCCTTCGATGTCTCAACCAGTCAGATTCATTAGAAGGGTGAGGAATTATTTAATATTACAATTTTTTATTGTCATTATCTTTGTTCACAGGGCA